GGACTGGGTATAAAATTGCTGGACGTTCTATAGATGAATAGGCCCTTTGTAATTAACGTGGCTGTGCTCCTCTTTGAGCTCCTGGTCCTGTCATCTCTTGCCCCCAGCGCCATCCTGCCTCCGCTGTCACCTTTAAAGCAGGTTAAATGTCACTAAATCCTCATCAAGCATCTCCCGTCCCCCAGCATCAGAGTCTGTGAAAGCAGTGTCCTCCTTAACTTACCTTCACGGAAAATGAGGAACTAAGTGCCCAGGAGGTGTGTTTTGTAAGCTGGCAAAATTCTTGGAATTTTCCCATTAATTCCCACATAATCCCGTTAATTCCGGTGGAAAGTTTCCAACTTGGAATTTTTCCAAAATTCCCCAGCTTCACTTTCCCTGGATTGGAAAGTTTCCAGAAATTTTCCACCCCTTTGCAACCCCAATATTTTGCTTCTAGGGTCAAAGCTCTGTCACAGGTCAGTGGTTATGTCATGTGTCATCATCTGCAGTTTCACTGTAACATTAGCTAAGCAGCATAGTGACCCATCTTGGATTCATGTTAAAGTCTGTCCAGCAGAACCACGCATCAGTCCTTCACAAACTTAAAAAATCACAACCCCCAGCCCCCCCCCCCTTTCCATGTAGCTTTCCATGTAGCAGGCCCGTGGTTTGGGTTCCTCACAGAATTGTGCAGCGGACGTGCAACCTGCTCTGGGTGGGTTGGAGCCCTAAATCCTGAATAGATCCCTGGTGACCTGGTGGACATCTGGTGTGAGATGAAGGGATCATTCAAAGAAGAAAAAAAAACAGGGATTCAGAAGGAGGGTAAAGATGACGGCATGGGAGCCTGCCGGGTCTGGCTGAACTAAATCTTGTGTTTTTCTTGCTTTAATGCCGCTTTGGGAATATAGTCTGAGGTGTTACTTTTCCATGACACATTTTGTTATGTATTCCTTCCTCCGTGTGTGATTCTGCTATGTCCTTACGACAGAAACGTGAGGATCACACTCATCAGGAACAGCCCTCGATCGCTGAATGTCCCCCTTAAATGTTGCGTGAGCTGGTCTTGGCTGTAAGATGATAAATTTGCTGCATGCAATTTATATTTTGATGAGAGCCCACTGTGGAGCGTAAATCGGGGTGGAATATTCTGGACTAGCAGTGTTATAGTGTTATTCGAACCTCAGCTGTTTGCTGGTCAGGCTGAAACTCAGGTGTGTGTGTGTGTGTGTGTGTGTGTGTTCGTTTGACAGGATGTGAATTGGATTTAGAGTTTGTTCAGCTGGATCTGGCCACACAGAACAGTATTATATGTGGGTCACTGTCACACTGCAGAGTCAGTTTTGGAGAGAGAGAGAGAGAGAGAGAGAGAGAGAGAGAGGATCAGTGCCACTGTAGTTTCAGTCTTAAACACACGACTGAGAATTTTGGATCTGTTATTGTGTTTATCTGCACATGCCGATCTTTCGCTTGCATATCCTTTGTAAACCTGATGGAAACTATTGATTAGAGGCTTTTGTCTTTTCAATGTTAGATGTTATTCCAGAAGCGATTTTCTCAATTTGTGACCTCTGAAGAGTGACTTACGTTTCTGTGAGTGTCTGCCAGAACACTGGAATGTTTTGGAGGACTGAACTCACTTTAGGAGTTTTGCATTTGTATTCAATTATTCCAGAGTTTCTGAGAAACCATCGGTATTGTGACAGATTAACTCAGATGTTGGTTCCTGTGATACTTAAGTGTGTTTTTTCCCCACTCAGTTGTTTTGGTAAATCCAGTTTGCAGTTAATTTTAGACTGAAAGTAAATTAAGGCTTTCTTTTGTACCAGAGCTGAACCTGCCCCCTGCCGTGACTGGGGTTTGGGTGTATTCCTGTGTGTGTGTGTGTGTGTGTGTGTGTGTGTGTGTGGGGCGGGGGGTGTTTCTCTTCTCTTTTCACTGCCCTTGTGGAATTTGGGTGCCCTGGAGCTGAAGGGTCATTTATTTTCAGCAGATTTCTTATTGGTGTTTGCATCATGGGCCTTGAACCCAACATGTGGGTCTAAACACCCCCATCATAAGACAGAAATCCAGTGTCATCCTGATGTAAACACAGGCAGGCTGTCACACCATACATTGTGTGTATTTCCCTGTAATAGTATAATCAAATGCAACATAAATCATAAACACTTTCTCCTTTTTGAAGTGTGACCCAAGATACTGTGAGGGTCTCCCCCCCCCCAGTTAAGACAATACAGTTTGTCTTTGGCACACAAACACCACTGCTGGCCGGCAGGCGTTAATTAAAGCCGTTTGTGTTTGTCCCAGTACACCTTGTGTCCAGACCCCAGCACTGCCCCCACCACCTCAACCCCCCCCCCCCCCTCGCTGACTCTGCAGAACCGCGGCTTAAAGAAATATCAAGAAGTCACCGAAATTGTCTGCCTTTGTACGGCCTAATCTTTTAATACCTCTGCGGAGGGGCAGTGCTAATGAGAGGGCAGCGGCTTAGCGTGCACTTTCACAATGGAGTGGTCAAGCGCCTGTTGCTAGGCGACGCTGCTTGCCGGAATGCTCCGACTCCAGGCCGTGCAAGCCTCATTTTCAATATATTTAATCTCCCCCAGGCATGCTGTTTGGGTGTTTCCCCCCCCCCCCCTGATTGGGGATGGCCAGCGACCTCCCCTTGTCTGCCGTCCTGAAACCTGGCGCTTCGCCAGCTCCCGCGACACGCGCGATCTCATAGTTTCGGGCTCGGAGATGCGACGGTTGTGGAATGCCAGGCATGCGTTTGACCGCTCGCTCCAGCGCACGCTGAGCGGGGACAAAGGTGTCCCGGACCAACGCGAGGCGACTCCCCGCCCCCTCCCGAGCTACCGTAAATTCCAGGGGCTGTTTGGGGGCGTCTGGGGGCTCTTTCAGGTTTGGGCCCCCGCTGTTTGATGGAGGGGGTGTGCTTAGCTGTCCCTATGGCCTCTTCCTCGGACGGGAGCTGGTGAAAGGCAAACGGTGATGTGGAAACTGTTTATTTCGGCAGCTGTGCTTGGCAAAGCGTTGGGAATCTCACAAGGCAAAGGTCTATCCAGAACTGAAGCTGCTAGAACCGTCTTTTTTTGCCGTTTTCCGTCGTTTGACTGTAATGCATATGTCCGCATTAACTAAATACCTATTTTAGGAGATGTTTTTTCATGCAGTGAGGACCCTCTTTCCTCTTGAAGTTTTCTTTACCGTCTATTCTTCACGGAGGCCTGTGTGATAGTTTACTTGAAACTGAGGTGCGGTAAGAGGTTCTGAAAAGCATCCCTGTTGTCAAACAGCCTCATCGATCATGTGACTTTCGGCTGGCTCTGACGGGGGATTTTTCTATTGTGTAAGTGATTGTTTGTTTATCAGATGGAAACGTGCACTGTTATCTGGAATGCGGTCGGCAGGACCGTGAAACCTGTTTGTCGGAATGTGGGTCTTCGCCCTACAGGAAGACGTCTGGCATGAAGCTATGCTGTCTCCTCCACGGCTCTGACAAATGAAACGCACCAATCAGGGCTTTTCTCGGTCGGGAGAACCAGTCAGAAATGAGTCGTGTGACTCAATCCGAAAATAAAACCTCGGGGTCGCCATCCTTGAATGTATCCATCCCCCTTTCTGAACCGCCGCCCTCCCCTGATAAACAGCATTTTCAGCGTTTGGCTGAGCTTCAAGTGCAGTCAAGGCTGCTTATCGGCTGTTTGTCTGAGGTAGATTAATATTAATCATCAGCCCATGGGATGTGTGAAAGTTACGTGGGTGAAAAAGAGGCCTTTTGTTCCGCGAGACACGCCTGCGGAATGTAAACTGCCACACCGATAATGGGGTTTCTGTCACATCCATGACGCCGTCAGAGGTTGAAGGACACCGATGACCGAATGGTACCACGGGATGTCGCTGGCAGAAATAGCCGTAATATTTCCATATAAAGGTCTTCAGGGTTCAAGCGATTGTGTTCAGTGAAGTATTTGACGTAGTATTTTTGGAGTAGTATTAGCGATGTCTGCCCGAGTGTGTTTACAAGCCCCTTAAATAAATAAAAATGTTTATCAGCAAGGCCCCCCCACTGTCACCAAGACGATTTTCCCGCCCTGCTAACACGTTACCCCGGTTTCTAGTTTTGCTCCTGGAGAACATCGAGAATGACGACATCGGGAAGAAGACGCTGAAGATCACGGACTTCGGCCTCGCGCGGGAGTGGCACAAGACGACCAAGATGAGCGCTGCCGGCACCTACTCCTGGATGGCGCCCGAGGTCATCAAGTCCTCGCTGTTCTCCAAGGGGAGCGACGTGTGGAGGTGAGTCCAAGGCCGTGACAGCAGTGTGCGGAGCTGATGGGGGCGTTTGGGGGCGTGTCCAAGCCGGATAGCAGCTTTGGAGCTCCACCACTGTGTTCTCCTCCACGTTTAATCGGATCAAGTTACAGTATATCGTGTTTTTTTTTTGCTGGATTTGTGCAGTCCCTGATACACAAGGTGGCCCCTGTCTGATCTTTTTTGGGGGGGTTAGGCTTTGGGTCTGTCAGCCTGAAGCAGCATTCTTCTCTCTCACCCTCCCACAGCTATGGTGTGCTGCTATGGGAGCTGCTGACAGGCGAGGTACCGTACCGCGGTATCGACGGCCTGGCTGTGGCCTACGGCGTTGCCGTTAACAAGCTGACCTTGCCAATCCCCTCCACCTGCCCCGAGCCCTTTGCCAAGCTCATGGAAGGTACGGTATGCCGAGGGCTCGTGGGATGGCAGAGTGTGAGTAATATTTCAGTGCATAGTTTACATGCTGCCAGCACCAGGGATTCCTTTCTCAGCAAAATGTAGACAAAGATTTCCTTTGGGATTAAAGGGTAGCTGGTTCCCCCCCCCCCCCCATTGAAGGTATTGAGCTCAGGAGCACCTGTGTCAACAGTAGTTTGAGGGTGGGGGGGCACTTTCAACTGGAAGAGGCAGTCTTGACTTTTTTCTTCTTCTTCTCTTGCTTTCTCCAGAATGCTGGGAACAAGACCCTCACGTCCGACCCTCGTTCGCTGCCATCTTGGAGCAGCTGACGGCCATCGAGGAGGCCGTCATGGCAACCATGCCGCAGGACTCATTCCACTCCATGCAGGAGGACTGGAGGGTGGAGATCCAGGAGATGTTCGATGAGCTGCGGACCAAGGAGAAGGTCGGGGGGGTGGGGGGGTTGCCTGACCAATATCGATGCTACAGACGTGTATCCTCAGCTGCCCTTTACTTTTCGTAACGGTTTTGATGCAGTTACTCACTAAACTGCTTTGAGATTTCTTTCACTCTTGGTTGCGAAACATGTGCTGGTACGAAAGTGAGGGATTCAGTTGGAGCTAATCCTGCAAACAAGGCAGATTGTTGGCTACCTCCCCTTCCAGTTGGAATCGGCACTTCTCGTTAAATCCGGGGATCAGCCCAACTTCCGATAACGCGTGTGAAAGGCCACCGGGCTTCAGCAGCCACGCAAAATGACCTCAACTCAAAAACTCCTCCTTTTTTTTATTTTAATTGGTTACTTTTAGAGGCAAGCTAATTGTGGGCTTAACAAAGCTGGCTATTAGCAATGAAATGGGTCCCCCCCCCCCCCCACAGTTAAAACCATAAGCCCCTTCTTCATTGAGACACCTCCTTAAACGGGATTTGTAATCACTTTATTGGGAAACGCACTTTCCTGCACGCCGGCAGTGTGGTTGCAGCTTACGCTCCGCAAACAGCACGACGCGCTAAAGCTGCTTTATCTTTTCTGTTCTTGTTATTTCCCCCCCATCCCGTGGCTCCCAGAAGTGCCCGGTTTGAGGTGGGACGCCATGGAGGGGGTTGTCGCAGTGGCACCGCAGCCGGACACGACGGAAACACGCTACAGCTTGCTTGGCTGTTGTAGGAGCCCCCCTCCCACGAGTGGCTGGGTGCGGAGGGGGTGGTGCAGCCGCCGTTCTCAGGTGTGGCGTTGATTACTGGGTTGTCTGTCTAATTATGGGAGACTCTTCCCAAGTCGGCGGCGGGGATTAAGCGCCTTGCATATGAATGTGTCTGTAAACACCTCCGCTGGAGAATGTCTGTCAAAACAGTAATTTTGTGCCAGTTTTGACTCCTCCCACGCCTGGGCCACCCGCTCTATGAATGTTTTGCACGCAAGTGCATCGTTGTGCGTGGAGACGCCTTGGAGGCTCAGAGGCACTGAGCACAGAGAAGGCAGCGAAGAAGACTGCCCCCCCCCCCCCCCCATAAAGCCGCTCAGAACCAGACGGAGAAAGGAAATGAAATTAAACGTATAAGGAACGTGGTGTTAAATATATCATGCAGCACAGTTAACACATATTTACACATGGAATTTCACACACTTTTATTTTTTTTTTTTTACACTAGACTGTCGTACAGTCAGGAGCAGCATAGGGTGGAACGGAAGCTGATTAAATAAAATGTGGATGCAAGTAAACAGGGCCGATGCTGGGAAGAGGTACAGGTCACGTTTAATATTTATTTCTGCAGCAGACGCTTCTGTTCAAAGTGGCGTACGAGTGAGACAGACGGCATGTGACACAGAAATGGGCCAGAGGCTGTGCTCGGCTGTGCTGACCTCAAGGTCACTGTGCAGAGCCAGATCACAGGTTACCTGGGTTCAGGAGGTCCTGCGCTGTTTCTCTACTCAAATATCTGACTAAATGGATTAAAGCTTTTGGGTGAAGCTGAGGACACCGTGACCTCTTGAGAGCGCCCCCCCCCACCCCTGTGACAAAGGTCACACGCCCCCCCTCCCCCCGGCCACACAAAGGGGTTCCCGGCTTTTGTCCTGTGTCTCGTTACGCGGCGAGCACTCAGCTGTGCGCAGCAAGAGGATGACTGGCAGTAAAATCACTTGCGTCACCTGTTTTAATGTTTTTTGTTCTCGCAGGCATTTGAAGCAGCTTGGGGAACATTGTTATTCCCCAAAGAAATCTATAATCTTCATTGTTTCCATAATTTCCACAACCATTAAAACATTTCACCATTATGTCAGTTACTAGACTCCACCCTCAAACAGCCCCTTGTAACCTTCCAAGTTTAACTTCCTCAGCACCCCATAGCGTCTTTACAGTAACTTGTGACCTGTAACCTCGCTGACATGTGACCACACACTCATCCCCGTGTAACCGCCACACTGATGTAACCACAGACTCCACCCCCTGTGACCTCGCTGACATGTGACCACACACTCCGCCCCGTGTAACCGCCTCACTGATGTAACCACAGACTCCACCCCCTGTGACCTCGCTGACATGTGACCACACACTCCGCCCCGTGTAACCGCCTCACTGATGTAACCAGACTCCACCCCCTGTGACCTCGCTGACATGTGACCACACACTCCGCCCCGTGTAACCGCCTCACTGATGTAACCAGACTCCACCCCCTGTGACCTCGCTGACATGTGACCACACACTCCGCCCCGTGTAACCGCCTCACTGATGTAACC